ATTTACATAACAGGGATTATGCCTATGATTTATTAAAAATTTTCAGGAGGGGACATTAAATTTCCTCCAATTCTGGAATGTCTTATACAGCAAGAAGGGCAACCTCAGACATAAAAAAATCAATAAAACATTTCAATAAACAGGGTACTTACACATCATAGAAGCTCAGAATTAAAAAAGATTAAAATCAAAAAGATTAATGAAACAATGACCTTCTCTAAGCTTGTTAGAGCAGCAACCACACATAATTTTCACTACCTGGCTTTAAGGAGGAGGAAATTTTAGGACATACCTTACCATGAATGCTCAATCTAGTTCAGTCAGTGCTCCATAGAGGGACCTTTTATGCAGCCAGTGTTACAAAACATAAAAAAAAAGAAAAAATATCCAAGGTTGTAGAGTCAGATGCAAGTGATGTGTTTTAGACTTAAATATTTCAGTAATCATGAGTTCTCACTATCTTAGAAATTTCTCTCTCCTTAATTAAAAAAAACCAAAACAATATAAGGTTTATTAGACCTAGCTTATGTATCCAGGGTATTTTAGTAGTGTGCCAGAAAGCGTTAAAGCTGGTATGGTTGTGGTTTTCGCTGTCTGTGAGTCAGATTTTTTGCATATGCAAAGCAACAGACATACTAACATGCTGCCTTCTAATATAATAATCTTGTAGAATAAAGCGTCTCATGTTCATCAATCTCCTCGAAGTTTCCACAACCTCTTTCATCAAAACTAGTGTGTTTATTTGGAAGACCCAACAGAATTATTGTTTTGCCTCCTGAGCGGTTGAGAAAAAAAGAGAACATCTAGGAACATTGCGCCCCCTTCTTTTCTCCAGAGCCTCCTAATATGTTCCATATTGTGAGTTGAAATGGGTTGGACTCAGGAAATGCAGTCACTCTGCTATACCTTCCAAGCTTCCAACTTGAGGTTTGGCTTGTAGGGATGGTGGTTGCGCATACTGGGGCTGATTGGGTGGCGGGAGCTGGCAAAAAACCATCTCTAGGCCCGACCTAACGTTCTTTTCCATGGATTTTCTCTTTCCTCCCTGTGGGAGCTAAGACATTCATGTTAATGATTCTGTTTTGTTGTATTTCTTTGCTTGCAGAGGAGCCACATCTCTTTCAAGGCTCAGTTAAAAAGCTGTATTTTCTCATTTCAAAGCGCCTCTTAATCCTAAGAACATCATTATATTTATTAGCATCATTATATTTTTATGTGCAATTCGAACAAAAACCTAATGTTTAGACATAGCACATATTATGAAAGCCAAACCGCACTCTGTCATGTAAGATTTTCATTAAGCTGGTGCCAAATCTTGACTCACTGTAGCTGTTGAAACCTGCTGGACAGCGTAAGGCTAACCCTGAGAGCGCATATCTCTGAGAAGAGTAAGGATGAGTGAGGAGGCTCGAATTCCAGCCAACAGGTCAGGTTTCGCATTCCTGGGGCACACACTACTGCCTGTCTCCACACTGACATGCCTGTTGAGTGTATTTGTGCCAGCAAGGGGCCAGGAATGTGTGTGTGTGTGTGTGCGCGTGTGTGTATATATGTGTGTGTGTGTGTGACCACTTTAGTTTATGTGTGTGCTTTCAAACTAACATATCAAAGTGGCTATAACATGTGTTTTATGACAAATACTACAGACTCATCAAAACATATGAAGCACAGCAGGAAATTGTCTTGCAGAGAGAGATAGCTCTACTCACATTGTTTGCAATGAGCTTGGAAAAAAATAGAAAGAAAGAAAAATCCCTCCAACCTCATTTGAGCAGATTTGGTATTTTGAGAAAGGAGGAATCTGGGGACTGTTGCTTTTTATATGCAAATGGGCTATTTTCCAATTTCATTTCAACTTAAAAGCCCTGCAAAACAAATACGGCTGATTTTTGTGATAGTTCAATTGTTTTTGGGTTTTTTTGTAAGGGCAAATACCAGTGCAGCTGCGTACAATAGCTTTCAGTAATTTAACAATAGTGCTTATTTTATTATCGTTGTACAGGGTGCACAAACATTTCATGGGAGAAATGTAATCACTAATTGGATGTAAGTGTTGCATTCTTTGTTGCAAACATTGTTAACAGCAATTGTTTCTTACGGTACTTTCATTAAATGATATGTATGGTAGGTCACAGTCCCAGGACCATTCAAACCATTGGTCCTGTTCAAGGACTGTTCCAGGAATTGATAACAGTTTAACTTTACAGAGACTTTTTAGATTTGACCAAAAACATTATGTAATTGTAAAAGATAATTTTGTTGGCAGTATTGCTCTAGTGTTGCTCTGATTGAGAATAAGCGAGAAGCTCAGTCATTTGGGAAAGTCTGAGCAGAACAGCTTCTTTTATTATTGGAATTAAGACAATGCACATTAATCAACATGTCAGCTTAATGCATCAATGTAAATATGCCAGAATTAGCACAAAAGCTAACTTGCATCTGGTGTCCTAAGGCAGGTTAAAACAATAAACATTAAACAAGAAGTTACAGGAGAGAACAGAGTAGACACATACAGAGGAAATGCCAATAACTATCACAACTCAGAACAGAAGGATCCAGTAATTCGAGGTAGACAAAACAGAGGTAGCCTTAACAGTTTTGTTAACGACAGAATCAGGTGGATGGCATCTGTGTTTTGAGGCAGGAACCTCTACCGGTGGAGACAGCAGGTTAGTGACCACATCTTTCTGAAAGTGGATGATCACAAACGAGTGGGTCACTAACCTGGTCTTATAGTTCAGTCTGAGTCCCGAGGTAGAGGATTGTTCCGGCCGACTGGCTGCCAACGTGGTCCAGCGGTTGCCGCACTGCGAGTCCCAGACGCCGGTGTATTGGAGGTCAGAGGACAGGCAGGCAGAAGATCAGAACCAAGCAGATGGATGCAGGCAGGATAATCCAAAGGGCGAAGCCTTAACCGATGGGGAAGCTGAAGGCGAATCCAAGACAGAGTCTGGTAACAGTTGCAGGTTTTGGGGCTGACAGGCTGGATGAGGGCTGGCAAACTCAGTGGTCGGGAAACAGTTCCAGTCTGTACACAAGCAGGCAGAGATCAAGCAGGAGTCAGAAGACAGGTCAGGCAAATGGATCAGGCAGGGACAGGCAGGCTCAGAGGTCGAGAGGCACTGATGACTGGTCTGAAGGCTGGTTAAATAGAGGGTAATGCAGGTGGATCAGATGAGCAGATAATAAGAACTGGGATGAGCTAAGCAGGTGTGGGAAATGAGAGATCAGACCAGGTATCAGTGCAGAGATAATGACAAAATAACATAAAATCAGAATAAGATTGGGTGAACAGCCCCAAGGAAACGGATATATTTACTTGTGAACACGCGTATAGTGTAAGGAGGTTTTAAACTTATATAGGTTTTACAGCTCCAAACATGGACCAGCAGTGTATTCCATCACCGTGTTCCTCTGATGGACACAGACATTTAGCCAAATTTGGTCCAATGCTGCTGAACATTGTCAGCAATGTCTGAAAACTATCAAGACTTCAATGTTGTATTTACTTACAGTAATGATGACATAAAGGCTTTTTATCAAGAATTTTCAATTTTCTTGAAGAGAGACTTGAGGGGTTTCAGAATGGCCTCTGAAATGTGAGACTTCTCCTCTCCATCAAGAGGAGTCAGCTGAGGAGGCTCGAACATCTTGTTCCTGGTGCATCCCATTGAGAGGTGGCCTAGGGCACAGTGGAGGAACAATGTCTCATGGTGTTGTTTGTTGAATAATACCATATTCTCTAACTCACCCTTGAGGTAACTAGCCTTACATGTTGGATTTTTATGTGTAAAAATATATATATATTTTTTTTCTTCCATTTAACAGTTGTGCATATTGAATTCTTTTGGACTAATGCTATAAAATGCTTTTCAGATAAATATACCAAAAAAAAAAAAAGGACTGCTTGAAATGATGGGCCTCTTCAGTCCAATTGCTGTAGATAAAGCAGCCTTTGGTAAGGAAGTGTTGTTGCAATATAAAAAATGTTCTCACCCAAAAGGTCTCTTAAAAAAATAAATATGCCCGAGGGGGGCTACCCAACAAACCAGGTGGAGCCATTCCTAATATAATGTCTAACATCTCAGCAGCTTGGCAACACAGTCTTAATCTGAAATTCCTGGGCTTTTGTTTGTATCGCATTTCAGCTGCTCTCTAGCCCCAACTGCTCTGCTTGTCCGTGCCATCCCATATGAGGCAGTTTAACATCTTAATCTGTGTTGTCTTTCATCTGGCTCCTGTTAAAGCCTTAACAGAAAGATTCTGAATGCAAACCTCTGTCAGCACCTTGCTTTAAGAGAGCAAGGGTGTCATAGGGTAATGGGGGAAGCAGACGGAACAGAAAGAGGGGATTTGGAAAAAGATGTTGGAATTTCTTTGGAATAATTTGTTCACAAACCTGAAAAGTTTTTATTATCATAGAAATAAAAAAGTGAAAAAAAATTATATTAGTTATTCATGTTACAGTATATGGTTAGAAAACTTCAAACTTTTAAGTAGCGTTTTTTTTTTTAAATGACTAAATAAAATTCTGCTCTGGCAATCAGCTTGTATTGTTAGATTATTGTTGCTGGACCTCACTCAAGTAAGAAAGTTGGTGGTTCATTAAAATTTAATGTTACTGTACAAGACACTGTATACTCTAAAGCTATAAGACGCTAAAGACAGATACTCAATAAATACAGAGAAATCTGTGCTTTTATTTAAAGGTGCAGAAACTAAAAGAGCAAAAAGAACATGAATATTTCCTGCTACCAAAGAAACCAAATGCTCAACTCTAATGAGACTCTTATTGGACCTTCAATCCACCGTATATTTATAATATAGGTGTCAGAGACCTCATAAGAAAATGGAAAATGGTCCCAGACTCAAGGACAACCTGCAAGACTTTATAATCCAGGGCAGCAAGAACAGAATATTTCTTTTTGGTGACCAAGTCCAGGTGAGAGAACAATACTTTCTGTTCTTACTGTCATAACCTTGAAGCTTATGACTGACGTAATTTTTCATTCCGTTCCCCTGCCTAGCTCCACCCAGTTTCTCATCACTGTTCATGTGTCACCTGCTCTATTTAACCTGCCTGCTCGAAGTCACTGGTGCCGGATTATTTGAGCATTTGGTGAGAGTTATCTAGCGTACTTGTTTTTGTTCTGATTCTCTGATCCTGACCTGCTATGCCTTTGGACCTCTGAGCTTGCGTATTCCTGCTCTGATCTGTTTGCCTGACCGGTCTTTGGACTCCTGCCTGATTCTGCTTGCTTACGACCCTGTCTTCTGACATTGACCTGGATTTCCCTTTGGTACCTCTTCGGATCTCTGCTCTTCTGGCTCGAACTCCTGTGAATCTCCATGAATCCAGCTTTGGCTTTGCCTTCTGGAAAGTCCTGCCTTCCCTTGTCTACTTGGATTTGTTTGTCATCCAGTTCTTCAAGGCTTCAGCATCTGGAACTCTCTGGGAAGAGTTCGTCATGTGGTGCTAGCAGCCGTTCTGCTGGAATTCACCTCTCCCCCTGGAAAAGAACTGAACTTTAAGACCAGGTAAGTGACTCACACATTCATAATAATCCTCCATCAGATCTACGTGACCACTAACCTGAGTTTTTTCCTCTTCAGAGGGTCCTGCCTTAGACATCCCTGCAGTTATGGCACATCCTTTGTTTTGAATAAAAGCCTTTGAGAAATCAGTCACATTGTCTGTTTGCCTTGAATTCAGGGTCCTCTGTTCTGAGCCTTGACACAGACCCTCTTAATCCTCCTAATGTCCTAATATTCTATTGGTACTTATAGAAAAGCTTTGTAAATTGTGGAAGTAAAATGCTATTTAGACATGAATTCAATTTTACTTCTAAAGGCTAATAATTTACCATTTATAAAACTCAAAATGGAGAAATCCTAATCCGTGGCAATCTATTAGAAACAGGCAATGTAAGAATTTGTGTCACTCAATCAGAGTGTACAGCGGGAAAATCTATCCCTTTACAAAGAAAGAGCTCTGTTATTCCCCTTATCCGTAAAAAACAGCATGACTCATAAATTACGTGAAGATAGATGCAATGACAGAAGTTAAACATATATGCCTGCAGCATTTGTACCAAAGAATACACTGCTTGCTCTGTTGAGACCAGTGATATACCAGTGTGGTTCATTACATTGCAAAATGCTGCAAACTTTAGAGTGATCTTCTTCTTTTTCCTGGAAAACATTTAGAACCAGCTGTTAAAAAAAATCATCATTAAAGGAATAGTACACCCAAAACATGATTAGCCTTCATTTTCTACTCACCTCCATGCTGAACAACACTCTGGAGTACTTTTTTGATATCTCAAATGCATCTGGAGATCTGGGAGGCTTCTTGCTGTCTGCTGACATTCAAATAATGGAGGTCCATGGCGCCCGAGACAGAAAGGTCCATAAAAGTCCACAAAAACGTGTCAATATTCCTCCATACTGCTCGTCCAATGTAATCCAAGTGTCCTGAGTGGGTAGCATCCAGAATTTACTCGAAACGAAGTCATTTAGAATGTTTTTAGAGCATAAACAGTAGTGTATAGGATTTCCTAATAGCGCCCCCATGCGCGCTCACGATTCTACGGAAGCCGGCAGACCAAACCGGAAGGAAGTGCGCATTCAGCGTCTGGTCTGCCGATAATGCAAGCGTAGAAGAAGAAATGTGCTGTTTACCTGTGCAAAGAAAGAAACAACGAAAGAAAAATGTCTGAGGACTTCAGTGTTGAGGAAGAGCATGAGTTCTTTGCCGAGCTGAATGCGCTGGTTTGGTCTGCCGGCTTCCGTAGAATCGTGAGCGCGCATGGGGGCGCTATTAGGAAATCCTATACACTACTGTTTAGGCTCTAAAACGTTCTAAATGACTTCGTTTCGAGTAAATTCTGGATGCTACCCACTCAGGACACTTGGATTACATTGGACGAGCAGTATGGAGGAATATTGACAAGTTTTTGTGGACTTTTGTGGACCTTTCTGTCTCGGGCGCCATAGACCTCCATTATTTGAATGTCAGCAGACAGCAAGAAGTCTCCCAGATCTCCAGATGCATTTGAGATATCAAAAAAGTACTCCAGAGTGTTGTTCAGCATGGAGGTGAGTAGAAAATGAAGGCTAATCATGTTTTGGGTGTACTATTCCTTTAAGATGTTTTAAGATTTCTGTAGTGTTTATGACTTGAGTTTAGAAGAGTCTGCTTTTAAATTGGAAAATTGGTAAATAAGCTTCCCTATTCAATTTCTTTACAGAATAGTTTTAAGAACTGAATATGCAAATGCTGGTCATACATTTAGGCCAAATCTTATTTTCCATAAGGGTCATTGCATGTGACTTGAAAGGACTGCAAGAGATTTGTGAAAGTGTTGGGGGGAAAAGGTCTCCAGATTTTACGTCAGACGAGAAAATTCCAGTGAAAACTGGATTCACCTAAAACAAAACATATGGAAAATTTCAGATTATCAAGCGGTAAAGTGCTTCAATTCTCTAAGTACCCCTTCCCTCTATGTTAACTGGCAACACTGCAAAGCAGCTTGTGTAAATTCTAAGTCATCTGGTCATGTCAACTACTTACAGGATTGAAGCTGAGGCAACCAGACTCCCCTCAGTTCTTCTGTTTTGACACCTATCCAGTAGTCTTTGTCAATTCTGTTGGCTCACAGCCTGAAAACGATGCATAGTGGAGATTCTCAGTCATCCAGTACATAGTCATTCCAAAAATAAATAAAAATAAAAAAACAAACCACTGGACTTTGTTTTCCAAGTTTGAAGATGTTTCGCTTCCCATTCAGGAAGCTTTCTCAATTCAAAATCTCTGGAGTAGTGTTAAGTTCCAGGCTTATAGGGTGGCCCAAACAAAGGCTTTGTTATGAATTAGAAAACATGCAAATTGCACCAACAAAACAGGTCCATCCCTTAATACTGTATGTATTAAGTACATGCCTTAGACAACTTTTATTTTTACATTTTGTTTTCTACAGCTTTCAGACTGTGGACGAGCAGGAGCTCAGCAGCAAAATGAACATTTTCAGTACATAAATTGCGGGAGTGATCAAAAAACATGGTGTAAAAACACATTAATATGGAGTATCCAAAAAATCCATCTTGAGCAATAAATTTTCGATTCTTTGCTAGGTTGGACCCTTTTCACATGGAAGCGCTTTATGTCACTTCAGCAGAAACAGCGCAGGAAGGTTCGATCTAAAGTAAATTTGGGGAAAATAGGCATTATCACTGAGTTGTCAGTCTGCTCATCAAAGAATCTCTTAGTCCATACATCCATCCATTTTCCATCACACTAATCCCAAGCAGGGTCATGAGGGGTGCTGGTGCCTATCTCACGCTGCTTACTGGCGAGAGGTGGGGTACATCCTAGACAGGTCCCCAGTCCATCGCAGTGCAATGTTTTAGGCAAGGCAAGGCAAATTTATTTGTATAGCACAATTCAGTACAAAGACAATGCAAAGTGCTTTAAATGGTTAAAATACAGGAAGATAAAACAGAATCAAAGCAAGTAGGAAACAAATAAAAAATAAATAAAATAAAATAAAAAATGCAGAAACAAAAAAGAATATTAAAAACAGTCGGACTAAAGAAAATATGTTTTCATAATACATAGTCATAAAGCGTCAAATAAAAGGCCAGAGCTTAAATATATTTTTCAGTAAAAACTTACATAATGTCTTTTTATGAGACCTCATGTGTAATGCATTCTCTGAGTAAATGTGTCTCTTGGAAAAAGATCTGTAATGTACAAATAGTAGCAAATCCAGCTCATCTTGTATATTGTATTTCCTAAACTGTTTCATAGTTCGCAACCAGCCGTAGTTTTAAAACTCATCCCTCTTTGGCGTCAGCTCCCAAACCAGGTGCAATTATGTTGTTATCTGCCCGGCTCTTGGCAGCTTGTTCCATGATGTTATGGTTCTCAGGGATTCTTTCGCAAATCTATGTGAAGGAAGGCCCACCCCTTCGCTTGTGGCTGCAGGTCCGAGTGGCGGCAGCCAGTCAGAGCCTCAGGGACTACCGATGTTCTTACAGCCATTAACAAGATGAGCAACGACTAATGTGAATGAACAAGCAACAAGAGCCATGTCTGCCTCAGTACAGAGGGACTTTATGTATCCAACCAGCAGGCATTATTGTGAGGGGGAGGAGGAGGCTTAGCATGAAAAAACAATCAAATCAATTCACAAAGCCATCTTCTCTCTCCACAAGAAGAAATGTAATTGCTGAGGTTTTTTTTTTTTTCATTTTCTTCTTTTGCGTGCATGAACAAAATGAAGCAATCTATGGGAATTAATATAAATGCTGTAATAGCTGCCTTGAGGGCCACTGAGAATTGTGATAATAGCCGGCGCCGTGCAAGCAGAGAAAAAGAAAATCCAAAATGCTCATTACACTTGCTTATGCATTCTTACTGAATGGCCCACATGCTGCAGCTTGCCCCTACTGTTTTCAAAGAGTGCACATTCATCTGCATTGAAGCCTGTCATTTCTAAATGAGCAACAAATCAATGCAGCAGGGATCTGTTTGGACTAAGTATGAGGAAAAGGATGCAAAACCTTTTTTGTTTTCTATAGTTTGTTAATATTTATTTAGAATTAGTTTAGATATCTTACCATTACTGATGGGTATGTCAGTAACTAATTGTTTTTTATTGAATAGCCACATTTTAGGTCTTTGCATATCAAAGCGTTAAAAGATTTAGACTTAGAAAACATTTATTGTCTTTTTGTATACACAGAGTGTATGCAAAATGAAATTTAGCTTTGTACAGCTTTCAGACAGTGAATGAGCAGCAGCTTAGCAGTAAAATTAACATTTCTATTCCATAAAGTGCAACAGTGATCAATTGTAAACAGTGTGGGAGGAAAAAAACATGGTGCAAAAACGCAATTGAGTGTTTCAAGCAAATATATATGGTGCAAATATGCAGATTTCCATTCTTGAGCTCCAATGCCAAGCCTTCGCCATCTGTTGCAGGTTTAAATTAAGGGCAGGGTAAAGTTTTTCTACACTGTTTGTTTTTTTTTTTTGTCCAGCATGTGCATGTTTTAGACACTGACAGGCATTTGCTAGTATTTGATTGACAGGGCAGCAGTAGATGATGTACTGTATCATGGGATTTCTTCCCTCCAACAATGGCTCAGGTCTAGTCTGAAAGAAGGATTCAAATCTCCAAGGAGGCTCTGCGTAAGTGTCTGTGTGATCACCATTCAGGAACACAAACACCAGGAGGTGGTTTTAGCAGGGCATACTGCTGGAGGCTAATCAGACTTACTGTACAGTACCAAGAATCAAAGAGCTGTTTTATTTGGTTATTACTGGATAAATATTTGGGGGTCCATTATGAGGTTACACCTACAGACATGGATTATTGAGACAGTGGGAGTTTGTTTTTTATCCTTTTTATCTTTCCCTCCCTACTCTAACTCCCCCCCCCCTCCCTCCTTCAGCAAAGTTTTTAATATCAAAGTGTGCAGTCTGACAGGAGTACTACTCAAACAAGGGCTCTTTTGTTGGGGCTCCCTCCAACCGGCCAGGAACGACAAGAACTTGTCAACCCTTATTCGGTTAGAAAGAAAGATAAAGAGAGGTGAAAAGGGCTGGGGCTGAACCGGCTCTTCTGCAGCATACAACAGGGATTATTTAGGTGTCTAGCAGCGCATATGAAACTGAAGA